AAAAAAATAAAACTGCCGGAAGCAGAAGTTTTCTCCCTCAAGTGGACTTCTTTCCATGAACATAGAACAGCAGGACTCCTAGGGATAAGAATAATGTTTGTTGGTGGGAAGAGGCTTGCTTCTCCCCCGAACCATGGACAACTTGTACCCCTCTCCCTTCTTTTCTGCCTTTACACTCGCTCTCAATAAAGATCTCTAAGAGCTATCATGTGGGTACCATGTATTACCCCAAGTGGGAAAACAAATCAATATTAAACTATGAAGAACAGCAACAGCACAGGAGCATGGAGGTAGAAGCCAGTGACCAGGTGTGCTCTCAGTGTCTTCAGAGCTGTCATCACTGACAAGCCAAGAGCACTGGTCTTGTCTTCCAGCACATGGGAGTAGCAGGGCGAAGGGGAGGGTGGACTAGGGACCAAACACCCACAGTGAGCCAGGCAGGTATGTTCATGTTATATTATTCATCGCTTCCAATGCAATGAAGTTGACCATAATCACTATTTTACAAACTGGAAACTAAGAATCCCACAGGTGTAAGTGACTTGCCCAAGATCACACACCTGGTGAGTGACAGGCAGTTACCAGGTCTGTCTAATTCCATGCCCCCAGGCTTAGTGCATATGTAACTATCAACATTTAATATATTCAACAAGGTGCTATAAGTGTTCTAAAAAACAAACAAACAAAAATACAAGCAGGTTGGGAATACATTGGGCTACGCAAAATTAAACAGGTTTCTTTCGTGTTCAAACACAAATAGTATAAAGTTTGGCTTCCGTAAACTTAATTCACTATAGAACTTTTTGTTTTGCCTGGGACCCTTTGTGAGACTGGCTTTCCCTGGAACCAATCATCAGCCAGCACTTAGCTTCATCCTGGGCATGGCAGGAACAGGAATACTCCCCTCAGGTTCCATGGGCTCCCCTGCATTTCCAAGTCCTGATGCAGTCAGGTGGGACCGTGTGACTACTTCTAGCCAATGGCTATGCCCAGAAGTAATGTGTATCATTTCTGAGACAAAGCATTTAATTGGTGATGCAAGACCCCTTGTGCCGTTTTTCCTGCCACAGTGACCAAGACAGCCTCATAGTCCAGATGGTGCAGGTATAAAAATGTACCATCCATCAGCCTCCATCAGCCTGAGCCTTGAGTGGAACAGAATCCTCTACTGGCAAGTAGCATAAGAGAAAAATAAACTTTTGTTGTGTTAAGCCACTGAGATTCGGAGGTTATTAGCCTATATACTGGACCAAGGGAGTGCTCAACATCTGGTGTAAATAGCTCCAGAAAATGATGGTTTAATAGGATAAAATTAATTAATTCCTGTCATTAGCAGCAACACCAACGAGAATAATAACAATTGACCTTTGTGTAGTGTTTCATGGTTTCCAAGGCACCTTCATGAACGTGATTTTATTTAATTGCTGAAACGAGATTTCAGTGTACTCAGACTTGTTTTAAGCAGTTTTAAGGTGAGGCTGAGGGGCTTGAAACCCCCTTCACAGGTCTTCCCATTCCTCAGCATAGGGATCCTACGTCAGTGGAGTCTTGCCTGGCAGTAAGATATGACTTTTATGTAACATGAGAAAGTGCCTCTCAGCCCCATGCTGTAATTACAAGGAAGCATCTTCAAGTGCTATTTAGCTTGCTCAGAGCAACCTCACTGCCTTTGATTCAGAGCTCTTCACTAAGGCCACACGGTGTCAACTCAAGGTAATATATTATTTTAAGTAATTTGTTTCTGTGGTTACAAACATAATTCATGTTTATTATAGAAAATTTGTAAAATACAAAAAAGCACAAAGACAAAAATCAAAATCATGCATAAACCCAACAACCAGTGATATCCACTATTATAATATTAGCCTTGCCATATGTTTTTTAGTCTTTTCTATCAAAACTGGTGTTGTACAGTAATTACTATCTTGTAAACTGATTTTATAATTATTTGATTGTGAACATTCACCCATGCTTTTAGTATTCTCCTATGACATGATTTTAGTGGCTGAATTGGGTTCCATTTACTTTATCATCCCCCCACCCCCCTTTACTGGACATTCATGTTGTTTTAAGTCTTCTCTGCACAAATAATGTTGTGATGAACCTCTTAGCGCAGTGATCTTTATGTGTCTCTCCTAAAAAAAAATTATGGAAATGCGATGTCAAGAGATTTGGACACCTTAAAGATTTTTTTACACTGTTGTCAAATTTCCGTTTAGAAAGAGTAGTGCAGGTGAGCCCCATTTCCTATAACTCACTTCCATTGGACACTGTATTGTCAGGATCCAGTTAGGGTGAAGGAAAGCACACTAGGTATTTCCACAAAGAAGATGTAACATAGGGGACTGGTTTACAAGGCAACAGAAGGCTGAAAAGTAAAATGAGGACTCTGAGAGTAACTGCAGAAAGCATGTCCCACCTCTCGGGTTGGGGGAACAAAGAGACAGAGTTGGGATTGTTGACTCCTGCAACTGTGAGGCAGGGGGTCCCCATGGCCCTGGAGCACAGATCACTGAGGAGGGGGTGCTGCCTGTTGCTGCTGGCACTGTAGGAGTTCATAGGAAAATCCCTGCAGAGCTGGGACTCAGACCTCTGAGAAGAAGATGTTTCTGGCTGGTGTTGGTTCCTCTGAAGGGTGTGACGAAACTATGCTAAGCTGTGCAAAAAAGAAAGGGAAAAAAGGTAAGACTGGAAAGCTAGAGAACGGAACCAGCTGTTGCCGCCAGAGTAAAGAGCTATTACCAAGAAGGCCCTGACAGTATCAGCAAGCAAACCGAAAAGATCAAGTCCTCTTCTCTCCAGCCTCGCCGTCTCCCTCTAGTGCCCCCATCTGGCAGAGCCTAACATGGAGCCCCCCGACAAATGAGAAATGGAGTTGACACAGTCCCAGCCCCAATCTAACAGAGCAGAGAAAGGTAGGTGTGAAACTGAGAGACAATCGTCTAATAACCAGACAGGCATCATCACACTTTAAATTTTTGTTGGTAATCTTTTCAACATCGGCGATTGAAAGCAAGTTAAATAAGACATTGGTTAGTATAATATTTTGATGATTTAATAGTTTCATAATACACATAGATCTGCTTTCAGACCAGACTGGAACTTCTTTAAAAACAGAACACCAAATTACTACCAACTGATGTTTATTTAAAGTGCTTCCTCTGTTCCTCTCACGCTGCCCATCAGGTTCCGGGGGGAATCTCAGTTAGTCCTCATGTTACAGATGGGAAGTCTGAGCCTCAGAGAAGTGAATTCACTTGCTCAAGGTCACAGCTTCCAAACAATGGAGGTGAGATTCGTACCGGCAGCCGGATGTCAGAGCCTGGCTCTTAGTCATATCTCTGTACTACTTCTCCGTCCTCTGTACTGTTTAGGTGACACACTGATTTTTTCCCCCCTCTGGCCATACCCAGGGATGAACACAACAACCTCAGGTTCTTGCCAGCATATTTTGATTGCTCCATGCTGCGGGCCACTTTGTAGTTAAGACTGTTCTCACATGAAACTTGCAGCATTTCAGTAACCAAATGCCTCACAGCGAGGGTCAGAAGGGACTCTCATCCCCAGATTTTGATCTTTAGCAAGCAACCATATCATACTGGAATCACAAAGCTGCATTAAAAGCCCTTACTAGATATTTGAATCTCTTCTGTGACATTTCAATCAACAGTGGTCCGGACTCTATTTGGACACTTTTCATCCCTGTAATATCTCACTGTACAATGTGGCCTGTCTATATTTTTAGACAGCTCTAGTTGGTAAAAAGTTCTTACTGGCAGAGGGCTAAGACCTATTTCCCTGCCAGTTCCACCTGAAGATATTTTACCTTGCTCTCTCGAGCAACACAGCTTTGCAAATGCTTGAAAGCAGCTGTCACATCAGTCTTCCCCTGGTGTGGTGAGAAGAGCTCATATACTTTTGGAGGTAGCAAAAGTCTCAAATAATGTGGCAGAGCGGATGAGCAGAGCTTAGGTTTGTTACTGGGGAAGAAACACATAGAGGAAAGCTTCTTGGTCGTTAAGAGCCCAGGTTTTAAAATCAGACCAATCTGAGTTCAAGTCTTAGCATAATCATTTACTACCTGAGACCACTGACTAGCTCTGTGACATTGAGCAGGCTGTTTAGCCAAATGGGGATGCTAGTACCTACAAGACAGTGGTGTGAGGATTCACTCAGCTAAGGTTTGTCAGTGCTTGCCTTGACCACATAATAGATGCTCAGGAAATGGGATCTTTCAAGTGCATTGATGAAAGACACTAATTTCAATTGGCCCATAAAGTTACGAAAATGCCTCTTTATGGCAGTAATTCTCATCTAAAGATCATCGCATTCCATCCCTAAAGATCAGTTTTAGAGTTCTATGATAGATTACTCTCCAGACAACCTTAGTGCACTGAAAAGGCTGAGATAAATAGCATTTGGAGTCCGAAGACCTGAATTCAAGACCTGGTTCTGCCCTTTATTTTTTGAGCTTGAGTAAATTGCCTGAGGCTTGGTTTCCTCACTTGTAAAATGCACTGACACAGCTAAAATGCCCCCCATGAAATACTATGGAACAATCAGAGGCAATAGATTAGAATGCAGAACAACGTGGGTGGATCTGAAAACATAGTTTTAAGTGAAAAAAAGTGATCAACAGAATGAGAAACATAACAATGTCATGTAAATGAAATCAAAACAACTACATACAACAGATAACACCCATGCAAATTACAGAAAGCCAATGTATTGTAATGGTTGTCTATGAGAGGAAGAGAATGTAAGTGAGTTAGGAGGTTAAAAAGGGATCAAAAATAAAGAAAAGAGGGGCCTCAACAAACATAAAAATAAATAAATAAATAAATAAATAAATAAATAAATAAATAAATAAATACCTTCCTCATAAGGTTATTCTGAGGGTATGATGAGTTTATTCATAGGAAAGCAAAAGTTAATTTACTGTTTCCATTTTGATCTCCATATTGGACAAATGAGCTGAACAGCAGTAAAAATTCCCCATCACTCTTCAGTAGGAAGCTGTCTCCAGGGCAGGGCCCAGGAAACCTTGCCCTGGCTTCAGAATCTGTTGGTGAGATGACATCAGAGCTCTTCATGAAGGAGGGGCAGACTCTCCCTCACTTCTGGAGACACCACTTGATGGCACAGCCAGAAGCAGCAGCAGCAGCAGCAGCCTTTTTCCATGGATCCCATGCAAATGGCCCATATGGGCCCTCGGAAGAAGAAACCCAGGCAGATGGGTGCCTCAATGGCTTCCCCTCCTCATGACATCAAGTTCCAAGATTTAGTCCTCTTTATTTTGGAGAAGAAAATGGGAACAACCCGCAGAGCCTTCCTCATGGAGCTGGCCCGAAGGAAAGGATTCAGGGTTGAGAATGAGCTCAGGTAGGACACCACTGATGTGGTTTGTGAATCAATTTTATGAACAGCTTCTTTGAAACCCAAGGAACCCGTGTTTTCTTCCATGTAAGGAAGAGGTGATTTTCCCACCGGCGGAACAGGTTTAAAATCAAGGAACAAATTTGAGCCAAGTAGTTATGGGATATAAGATGAGTAGGGACTGAATACAATTATAAAGAAACTAGTTGGCACCAAAAGATAAGGTAATTTTTTTATTTTTTATTTTTGCTTTTTATTATTATTCACTGATATGAGATGAGGTGTCTAGGGATGATGAACAGAAACCAAGTTGGAAAATTCAATGCTGAAACCATTCAATTTCATTTTTGAACAAAACAGCACTGAGTTCAATCAACAGAATTTCAGCTACTTTGATGCAGAAAGAATGGTTCGTTTGCTTGGCTCTTAAGCTAAGCACCTGGCTGTGCTGAGGTGACCAGTGTCTGTGACCGGGCTAGGATGAGTGACTATAGCAGGCTTTCACCATAGGCACACCAATGTAGCCTTGATCTTGCTTTTCCAAAGAGCAGTCTGAGTGGGGTTTGCAGAGAGAAGGATGCTAGTTAAAGATTCTGGGACAGCTCTATCCAAGGGTGGTAGATACCATGCTGAGAGTGGTAAGATCACTCAAGAGAATCCAAGCTTAAAGGCAACTGAAGCAACCATTTGGGCTGCCTAGACTGGTTCACTCACAAACTCACTTATATCTTAGCAACTAGCCTTGTTGTTTTCCTCACTGTTATATAAACTCTTTGCTGGTCTCAAATAGATGGAAGAGAAAACAAAACAAAATCCAGAAACAAATGCTATTAGAACCTTGACATAAATAATTCCAAACAGAACTTCAGGGGGCTTGCAATGAATAAAGAATAATGATTAATGTAATTGGCTTGCTTTGATGGTCCAAGGAATAAACAGACCACTTTTTTTTTTCCCAAGAAAAACTGTAAGAATTTTATGTGAAAATAAATTTTTATTTAAAAAAGTCTTTGATATTTAAAAATAGATCTGACAAAATTTTCCTGATGAAGAAATGTCAGCTTCAAATTGCCAGAGACATATGTCAAAAGTTGATAATCTGATATGATAATTTTCACAAGACCCATAATTCATATGAAAAGGCAATGTCACAGAAACATTTTATTTTTTTATTAAAATGCCCCATTCAGAAGTTCCTGGGTCTCTCATGGTCTCTCTCCCATCTGATTTCTTTTTATATGGTCTCCTTTGCCTTCTTTCTGCCTCTTTTTTCCTTTTTAATTAACCGCCATTTCATTTGGTATATTAAGTCCAAAATGTCATTTTGGGCTTATCATTCTTTCCATGAAATCTGAGATTTCATCTAATTTAATTGTTAAGTTTGCATAATTTTACAGACTTACTTACATAAAATGTTGAAATTGGAGGGAGGAGGTGGGGGAGATGACATAGACAAAGAGACCAAAAACCAGAAATTAAAGAAAAAGAAATTGGAAAAACAGAAATTAAAAGCCTTAGGAAATACAGAACTGCTTTTTGTGGTACAGAAATTTGGCAAGGGCCAGGCAGGAAGGCGAGAGCCAGATGGTCAAGGTACCACTTACATAGAAAGCTCTCTGTTGCACCGCCCATGCTTCCACCAAGGGCCGACTCGTTTAGTTACAGGCACAGCTACAGATACGTACACGGTGGCTGAGGCAGGCACTTGGGGTGACGATGGGAGGCAAGTTTCTTCTTTTGGCAAGAGATCCTAAGAAGCAGCTCCGGGCCCGAGAGGCCTGCTGCCAGGAACCAAGCCCAGCTGCTCAGGCGACAGAGGAAACTGGTGCATGGTGAGCAAACTGCTGCTGTGCGTGTGATGGTGGCAAAGTTCCCAGGCTGGCAGCTCAGAAGATACATTAACTACCAATGTGTTTTATGGCACAAAAATAAACCACAGGAAGTAGAAGTCCTAGCTCTCAAAACGGAATTTCCGTGCATAGCTACATACACTTTAATTGGAAAGGACAATAGAGATCATTGTAGGGGGAAATCTCTAGGTGAGAAATCGAGAGACCTCCAATTCTGGCTCTGACCCTTCCCAGCCCCTTTCTTCTCTCTGACCTTAGTGTCCAGATGAATGGTCTAGGCTACCTGATGTGATCACCGAATGCAATGATGGCTGTCAATGTACTCTGATAAATTAAAAAGTTATATAAGTGTAAAGCATGATTGGTTTCTTGTTAATTAGCTGGATCCATTGACCTTTACAGCAGAACCCTAAGGAGAGGGTTCTCTCTCCACAATATGAACTAGGTCAAATGATATAAACAAATAGAACAAAGACAGGAAGGAAACCCATCAAAATGTAAGTGGTTATTTTTTTTTTGCGGGGGGGTTTGGAAGGAAGGGTGTAGTAGGGAAAGATTTTAGCTGCTTTTATTTTCTGTGTTTTCCAATTTTTTAACAATAAGCATATATTTTATTTATTTATTTATTTTTAAGATTTACTTCCTCTTTTTTAAATTAAAATTTATTGGGGGTGACAATTGTTAGTTAAGTTACATAGGTTTCAAGTATACAATTCTGTAATACATCATCTATATATCACACATTGTGTGTTCACCACCCAGAGTCAGTTCTCCTTTCATCACCATATTTGACCCTGTTTACCCTCATAAGCATACATTTTAAAAATGAAAATAAAGAAAGCTGATTTTCAAAAGAAAGGAAGCTTCTCTATAGTGAAGGCTAGCTATACCTCGCCTTTCTAGTATATAAGATTCAGAGAAAGGGGAGCTATGAAAAAAAAAAATATATATATATATGCTCTAAAAATAAGCAGCAGGCTCCATAGTTCTTAGCATGTTCTTTGGCTGCCAGACAGATTAAATTTGAGGAAAAATATGATTCTTATTTTACCTGGGCCTGAACACACAGCTTAGAAATGGCTTACCTGAATGCATTAAACTTTCTGGAACTATTTCATTCTCCAGCATACGTGCACTGTATGCTTACATGTGGATTTGGCTTCATTAATATTTATGTTACATTGCAAAAGATGTGCTTTTCAATGTACCATAGAAGCTGGTTCTTAAAATATAAATCAGGGGGGATCAAGTCATGTAATTTGAGGCATTTTTGCACATTCACAAAAAGGATACTGTAGTTTGTTCCATGGCTAACATCCTAAATTTTTGAGCAACTTCATCATCTTCGAGTTATTTAAGACAAGCAACAGGAGGATCAGAATTTAGTGCTTGTCACGTTCTTATGTCACCCTTGCTTCCAGGACTTTGAACTATTTAAAAACTTTATCTGTCATCAACCTTCCTCTCTGAACTCATTAGCTAAGCCTACTATGACCTAAATCATTGATGTTGAAGAAGAAAGAGCTGTGGCTAGGAAGGATGGCTCTCCAGGGTTATGTCACCCAGCAGTTTAACACTTGCTGAGTTCCACTGTTCAAGCAGTGGAAACTCACCAGATGACACTTTCGTCCTGCCTAGACCTCCATCATTTGTCTACAGGGTACCTTTAGAAGGCATTCATTGTCTTTGATGAAAACAAGATATACCATCGTGGCATCATAAATAAAGGGCTCTGTTAGTACTCTCCCTGCACAGTATTTGTCTGTTTCTGGAGATACAAAATAGAAGACATGAGACCTGAAAGCAGGAAGTTTGCAATTGGCCAGGGGAGTCAGGAATTGTACCTTTGTTGTCACCTAAAATTAAAAGAGACCATAATGTATTTTCCAAGTATGTACAGGGCTTTTTTTTTTTAATTAGCATTTTCCTACACAACCCTTTAATTTCAGCCTTCTTGTATTATGTTGGCTTAGTTATATCTATCTAACCTGTCTGTCTGTCCTTTCCATCTGTTCACTATGTAATATTTGAAATGTGGCTTCTACCTCACTCATTATCCCAAAACTATTGTCTCCAATGTTCAAGGAATCTCATGATAGTAAAATCCATGTTTTTTCACCTGAATGTTGATAAAAACTCTATCCTTGACCAAAGCCTAGTATGGCTTCTAGCAGCTTAAGGCCATGTCCCTAGGATGCTTCCCCTCCCCCCAACTCACATCCCCTGCCCCGTCCCCCCCCCCACACACACACAACGTAAAATGCCTGCCTGAGAAAGCTCAAGGCTGCCAGGAGAATTTACTGTTTGTTCTTGCCAAAATCTAGCAGTAGGCAGATGGGTCCCTGAACCCCCTCTTAGAACCATTACTTTAGAAACCTTTAGAAATCCCTTCTAAATTCCTTCTGCCCCCTTTGAGATGTAAGTTTTCCAACCACCCAGAACTGTCTTCTCAAAGACCAGAGACTCAGCTCTTTGGAAGGCAAATATTCAAGGAGAGAACTGTCCATCCCATTCTCTGTGGGAAGGTAAAGGCCTAACTTTAGTGGGTATCTAGCTTGCACCACTGCCTCCTGTCGTAAAGATTCAAGAAATTTGTTTCTCCTCTGAATGCGTGCCAATCAGCAAATCTCGGTGACCTGGTCATGTGCCCCTCAGTGCCTTTCCCTTAGCATGCCCAGCCTTTAAAAGGTCTCCTTGAAGTTGAGCTTCCATCATGCTGGAACCCCTTCTCTATTGCAATAGTCATTACTAAATAAATTATAGCCTTACTTCTTTAACTAGTGTCCAGCTTTGTTTATCTTTTTTTTTTTTAAGATTTTTATTGGGCAATTGGGGGATGGGAACAGTGCTGGGGAATTAGGGGAAGGGGAACAGACAAGATGCTGTCGTTTTGTTCTTCAGTCTAGTTGTGGAGGACGTTGCTTCACTGGCCCAAGTTGGCACCATCATTGCGCTCTTCCCGGGTGAGGCAGATCAGTCACCGGCTTCTGGATGGCCGCTCACCGCGGCTGCTGGCCGCTCACGCTGGCTGCTGGCCACACACGGCAGCCCACGGCAACCCACTGCAGCAGGGGCTGCAGCCTACGCCATCACCGGTGACTCACGGCAGCCCAGCTCCAGGTTAAGCTGTTGTTCAGCATCTCAGCTGTGGAGGGC